CCGCGCGGCCGAGGAGCCCCCCCCGCCAAAAAATCCCCCGCCCCGCCGCTGCCTCTCACCGGGGCAGCCGGAGCACGCTGCCCTCCCAGCTGCCTGCCTGCATGCTGCCAGCACCCACGTGCTCAGGCTGCCTGCACGCTGCCTGCACCCACGCGCCTGGGCTGCCCGCAGCGCTGCCTGCACCCCTGCGCCCAGGCTGCCCGCACGGCGCCAGTACCGCTGCACCGGTACCGTGTGATTTTGGTGTGATTTATACCCTTTTCGGGACATTTGCCAGCCAGGTCTCGGTTCCCGAAGCGCCGGAGCAGGGAGCCGCAGCCTCCCGGCCCAGCCTGGGGATTATTTTTAACCAGGGCGGCGTGTGCCAGGTGCTGCTGCCGGAGCGGTGACGGGTGGGAAGGACGCCAGCTGCGCCCCCCCGGAGAAGTGCCAATTTCGGCACCTCCCCACTGGGTTCGGTTTTTTCCTGAGGGAATTCCTCCCCACGCTGCAGAGCTGGGGTTTATTTTTGTTTCCTGAACGGAAACCGAGCCCTTCCAGTCCGGCGCTGCAATGCCTGGAATGGGCATTTGGCCACGGTCGGCCCCGCGTGCGCCGACGCGGAGGAAATAAACACGGCCTGCCGCGGCTCGCCGGGGCGGCACGATGCTGGGAGCGGGGTGCGAGCCACCCACCGCGCGGGTCCCGGTGAGCTGGGCATTGGGCCCGGCGTTGCCGCGGAGCGTTGTGGCCGTGCGTGGGGTAATGGGAGGGTGACCGGCACGCAGCAACGCGTGGCCGGGCGCTTTGCAGGCAGCAATTGCTCTGTGGCGGCGTGGGCTGGCGGCGAATTGGATATCGGGGCTTTCCTGGGAAAAATCAAGTCCTGAACTGGGGAGGCTGGGCTGTTTGGGAGCGGGACACTGGGCTTTGCTGGGTGAGAAATAAAGCATCGACTTGGGGAGCCTGGGTCATCCGAGAGCTGAATATTGAGCCTTTTGCGTAAAAAAATAGCGCATCCAGCTGGGAGCCCAGGCCGCTGGCGGCTGGGTACTGGGTCTTCCTGGGAATAGAGCACAGCAGGGAGCCGGGGAGCCCAAGGCCTCCGGCCGCGGGGCTGTGGGGAGGGGAAGGGGCTGGACTGCGCTCCCTGGGGTTCCCCATCCATGCTCCCCACGGATCCCCACCCATGCTCCTCGGGGATCCCCATCCATGCTCCCCGGGGACCCCCACCCATGCACCCCAGGGACCCCCACCCGTGCTCCCCGTGGCTCCCCACCCGTGCTCCCCGGGGACCCCTACCCGCGCTCCCCCCCCACCCGCGC